GGGGTTTTGACCATCATTTCTTCTGAGGGTACCAACGTGGTCTACAAAAGGCTCTGTGTTGCAATGCCTTTATCTGGTGAATCAGTGATAGGAGAGCCACAATTCCCGAGTGCCACACAGGGGGCCTAGCAGCTGACTTGTGTTTTCAGTAAGTCATGGGCAAAGTTTTGCCTCTCTTCTTAATTTCTTCTTTCCCTGGCTCTTCCCTACCTCCCCTCAAGACATTTAAAAGGCTCCTCATATATTAGTTCCAGAAATGAAAAAATGCAACTTCAAGAAATCCCTCTGCCTTGTCAGCACCGGCGGTTTGCTCAATTTCTCCCCCAAAATCCAAGCCATCAGTGTAGCTGCCAGAATACAAATTCTCACCATACTTAAGTAAAGCTGTTTGCCGAGTTTGCATGGGATGATTTGCCTTGATGCTGTTAGCCCTGGCTTTACAGAGGAGAAAATATCATCCCTGGAAGAGGCAGCTTTGAGGGAGCTCAGGTACAGGAGCCCTACAAGAGCCTGTGCTGCTCTATGTAGGCAGCCTCAGGGATAAAAAGAAGCTCTAGATGAATCTCTCCCTAAAGGCAGCCAAGGTCTTACTCCACTGCCAGCCAGCAGCTCGGCACATGAACGCTGCACTAATGAAAGTGGCTCCAGTGAGTTGTGGCCTCCAGGCGAGTTCTGTGCATCAGCAAAGCCATTGTGGGTGCTCACACGAGCGTGCCAGTGTGAGGGGCTGTGACCCAGCTTCACCCTGGGTGAGCAGGGGCACACTGGGCAGGCCAGTGCTTCATCTTGCAGTCAGGGTGCCCAGAGACAGCCCAGGCTGTGAACACAACTCCAGTGACAGGCAGGGTTTTTCCACACTATCCTATTGCCTGGATCATCTGGGCAGGAAAAGAAAATGCAGCATGGAAGACAGAGTTTGTCTAATGCCCTTCTTCTCCCCATTTCTCTGTCTACTCTGAAGCAAAATTAATTCAGAAGAATCCTCCTCCAGTGTTTCTTTAATTACTGATGTTATTTGTATTGTGATAGCCTCCATGGGTCCTGGCCACATGGGTCTTATGCCAGCACAGACACACCACAAAGGCTTCAGAGACCATCAAGCACTCACAGCAGAAACAAGAAACCTCAGTCAGCAACTACAGCCCTAATAAGATAGGCACTACCCACACACATTGGCCAGGAATAATGCAGCTCACATGGCTTTATTAAAATGTACTGGAAAGCAGCTGCCTTTGGAAAAAAGCAGAAGAGAGAGTAGTTCTCTCCTCAAAGCAAAAGAGACACCTGTAATGAAGAGGCCAAGTAAGACCCACAGGCAGCATTCCTCAAAGGATGGGGTGGCTCCTGAATTAAGTGGATTCTTCCAGACACTGTGAAATATTCATACCTTGAGGAAAGATTAGTTTTCTTGTTGGATAGTCATAACATATGCTCTTCCCTAAACACACTCATGAAAGGAGAAGAAGAGCAGCTCTTTATTTGCTGACATTGTCTCACTGTGTCCTTGTCTCTTACCTTTTACTTAGATTAAAAGGTCTCTACAGCAGAAACCATCTTTCATCTTCTTTGCATGATGTCACACATAAGGGGATATTGCTGCAAGGGGATATTGTCCATGACTACTGGGAGGGTAGTACAAATAGAATTTCATGGTTTGGGGCAACAGAGGTTATCACTATGAACTGCAAACAAAAAAAGCTCTGATGAGCTCAGATGAACTCTAGCATAACTTACAATGATGACAGTAAGTTCTAGTTCTAGTTTGACACAACAAAAATTGAGTGGGGAGGTGAGGGATGCATTGTGGAAATCAAAGAGACTGAACAGTTCATTGTTAATAGAAGTCAAAAGCTTCTTAGTGGTTCTTAGGACAGACAGGAGAAGATGCATCCCCCAAAAGAGAGTTCATTTGCCTGCTCTACCTTAAGACAGCGCAACCTGTCAAGCCCCTGGCAAGACATATTAACTAGGCCATAATCCATCCCCCTCAGGCCTCACAAAACCCAATAAAGTTGTTATTGCCAAAAGGGTGCACTGCACACAGATGTGTTCAGCTATTAATGGGTTTTGCAATTATTTTCTGTCTAGTAGGATAAATGATGAGCAGAATGAGTACGCCCTTGGGTTTGACCAGAAAGCTGCTGAAAACAAAAGAGAAAAAAAGCTTTCTGGAAAGATAGAAGGAAGAAAGTGTGGATCAAGTGCTAGAAAGAATCCTAAAGCAGTGAACTTCCCAAGTAAGCTGACACGTTTCCAGTAGTGATGTGACCACGTGTCTGAACTGCTTCACTCAGCCATGGAGTACAAGCACTGAGGTTGGACCTTGCTGCTCTGTGAATACAAACCCATGGCAAAGGGTGGTATCACCAGTCTACTGCTCTGACTGGAAAAACAGCCAGCAGAGTCCCAGGCTGGGCTTGGTAAGGTTCCTATGCCTCCTTCTACACCCTTTTTTTCAGTTTTATCAGTTTTTCTGAGAACTCATTAACTTGCCCTGGCCACTGTTATGCTTGTTGCTTAATTGCTACTTATGATGAAACCAGGCCACAGAGACCACAGTGGATTTGTTACTTCTCTAGGTTAAAACTTTCCTAGTGCAGTTTTCAGGACTGGGCAGGACCAAGCAACACTGGTGGCAACCCCTCTAGGACACCATTTAAGACCTTTTTGGTAACAACACTGAATAAAATGAGCTGACTTACTACAATATTGATGCCTAGCAAGAACAAAGAGAAACAAATCAAAAGAATTAGGAAAAAAAAAAAAAAAGCTATACTGAGGAGATACAGCCAGGCACCCAGGGCTTCAGGCCTGCCCTTCAGTGACCCTCACAACTCACAGGTTTTTTCTGGCATTGCTCTGTTTTTCCATATGGATGCTGCCTCCACATGGGAAACAACCAAACTGTTGATTCTGCAGTGCCTCGTTTCCCATACAGCTGTTGCACTGCTGGAGAGGACTAGTGGAAATTGCTATTAAATTTAGCTTCTATGTCTCCTTATTGCCTTAGACAAGTACCAGTGCCTGAAGAAAATGAGTCACAGCAGAGGGAAAGCACTGCTCAATGAACACATGCAAACAAAATGCAGAAATCCAGGATGGACTTTGCCCACAATTGCTCCCCTCCCCCAGTAATTGCACATGAAATGCATTTAGAGCAAAGAAGTGTAGAATATACATCAGTGATGCAGCTTTTAACTTTGTGACATCCCTTTGTGGTATCTCCAGGAAAAATGATGAACCCCTTCCATAACAGGGCATCTGTGGGGCTCCAGTTCTGCATGTTGTGGGTGCCCAGAAAAGGCACAGAAATTCTTGCAGTTGGACTTCACCTGGAAGCTCTGGCCAGCTGCTGGAAACTCCAGAACTGAGAGCAGTTACAATTGCAATGCTATTTGTACCATCTCTGGGTCAGAACACGTCATTATTACAGGCTGTTTTGTGGGCTCTCTTCCTTGTCAGTCCCTTAGGACAGGCTTTGCTGAAGTTATGGCTTTTCCTCTTTGGCTCTCATTTAGGAAAACTGAAGATCACTAAGAGGAGAATTACTGCCAACACTGACCTTTATTTTCACCCAAAGACACAAATCAACTAGGTGTGACACACACTTTCATTCCCTTTTTCCATCTTTTCTTTCTTCTACCAAATATTTTAAGGTAATGAAGATCAGCTCAGCACTGAACCTGTAAAGAAACACACACGGGGGAGAAATTAGTCACAATGCTAGTAGTTCCAATAATGGCAGTAGAAACATATATTCAAATATTTCATTGTAGAGTATTTGAAGTGCAACAAGTCATTTAACCACCAAAAATGTTATAAACCACTCTCTATCTGATACTAGGGACCTCCACCAGCAGAATTTCAAAGTAACACCAAGCCCACAGGGAACAATTTATAGAGGGGACTTTCTGGCATACAAAGGAAAAAATGCAGCACCCTAAGTGGCTTGGTATTTTAAATTTGCAAAAATAGTGGTTGACTGTATTATTGTGAAAACAAATGTAAGCTGAAAGATGCTGGGAAGAAGGGGCTTGGAAAGGGGACACAACTCACAAGGCCAGCTGATCTCTTGTGAAAGTATCTACTGAATTGCAGCATTTTGGAATTGCTGATAACACTGTAAACAAAAAAAATACCTTTAGAAAAAGGTGACTGCATGCATAATCTGGTGCTTCTTCTAACTCCCTCATTAGCTGATGGATTCTTGAAAAAGCATTCTTTTTTACCCAAACAAGTAAAACTATTTGGCCAAACACCAAGCTGTGGTGACAACTCGTGCTCATCATCTCTGGTCCTGTGCTTAGGTCACTACTTCAGCTGGAGATGTCATTTTTCAGACTAACGTTAGCTACAGCACAGGAGCAATTCTCTCACTTTAAACACCCTTTTCTTTGCTGGGGGTACATGTGTAAGCACAATGCCAGGTCCTGCAGGAAAATCTCAGGCTCGAGTTCCTCCAGCTGCAGCTCAACAGCTGGAATAGAGGTGTGATGGATGGATCCCAGCAAAGCGAGACAGTGGCACTGCCTCCAGCAGGGAGCGGCTGTGGCTGACGGCACCTTGGGCTCCCGGGAGAAGGACAGAGCTCAACAGCAGCTCTTTCCCCATCTCAGGAAAAGACAAGTGTTACAGCAGCCTGTCCAACCGACAGGGACTTCAGTAAGGAGGTGGTTCCTACTCACCCCAGCTCTTCCCACCCTGAATATTTAAAATGCCGCAGTAAAAAGCATCTGCCCTAATGAGAGAAATCACGTGAACATCCCTGGGCGGCTGACACGGCAGAACAGCTCAGCAGCAGCAGCTGAACTGACTCACACTGAAGCTGACCTCACACTGGCTGCTCCGCCAAGCCAGTTCTCCAAATTCAGTGCATCTGAGGAATTGGTGAAATTCCGTTTTGTGTAACAGGAAAAATGATATTTGAGAAGGTCTGGTTTGTGACATTTTCATACAGACGTGATTCCTGGTTTCCACACCACCTCTTAAAACCACACACACTCAGTAAGGAGACATTTATTCCATTATTTCTGTTTTCAAGTTTTTGGTACAAAGTTTATTTTCAGAAGTTCTCACATGATCCTTTCTTCTACCAGCGTCTTTAGGATTTTTCTATCTCTGATTTATTTTCTTTATCTGTTGAAGCAAAAGCAATAATTGCTACAGAAAGAAATAATGGCAGTATTACAAATATTTTACAGCAGCATCCATTCGTTTCTTTGCCTCAAAAAAATAACAAAAATAAATCCAAAGACAAGATCCATACAGCCACAAAGGCTTAGGTTTGTAATATCCAGAAGTATGCTGCGTTCCCATATACGAGTTGTACAAGTCCAGCACAACTTTCCAAGTTTGTGCAGAGCCTGATAAATAAGACACAGAAATATCAGTTACATTATACTGTTTCTAAGAACTTTTACTCTGTAAAATGTTTGGTCACTCAAAGCTATAAGCTTAATCACATATCAAAGAACACAGGCAATAGAGCCCATCTTACTAAAACATATAGTATTAGGCCAAACAAAATATAAGAGGACAAAATCTAGTGGTCACTGAAGCCTCTTCAAAAAAGGTTTAAAACAGAATGTTTCCATCATGTATCAGAATAAAAACGTACTGTATTAAAATTTGATTTTTTTTTTAATTACAAGCTGTCTTTTAATCAGTCTTCTATTTACAGTGCAGAACTGCCAACTGCAGTAGTTTAACTTTGGCACAACACTAAGTTCCAATCCTTTTGAGTATTCAAGTCCTGTGTGTGTCCAAAAATTTTTCTTGGTTTCACGAAAGATTAGGCCCATTCACAGTTAACCAGTTATCTTGAAATTTTTCAAGAATTGCTTCCCCTTCACCACACTGGGCAGCTACAAAGGAAAGACATTGTAAGCTATTGCATCATTCAAAAGAAACTCTTCATTCTAAACAGTGACAGTATTGTTGCTTCCTTTAATATCACATACACCAGACAGATCACACAGACAGCTACATACTGGACACCTTTCTAAAAACCTTGCTGGTCGTTAGTGAATCATCTTCCTCATACTTCAAATACATAACAATGCATTAATTTAATTTCATTTCACATGTCAAACAGGACATTTAAATATATTGCAATATATTATAGAAAATTGCAAAGCGCCATCATTTCTGTAAACGAGACTGACACCTGTTAACTCTCCTGTGCACATGAAGAGCAGTACCTAGTGCCACATTTTCTGTACAATATAAAGCCTTCCCAGGTAGGGCAACTCATTTTAGTGCATTTCTGTACAGACTGTAAGCATACATGCAGATAGCCAACTATGCAGGGTTGGAAATACTTTTGTAAGCGGAAACTGGAAGATGGGGGAACATTCTGAAATCACAGCAGAGCTCTTGTGGTTGATCATTTCATAGCATAGATGAGGACTTGACTCTTCTGTCATTCTAGCAGATTCTTTTGGGACAGTTTCATGACAGGTATCTAGTACTGAATACACATAAGGAAATACTTTCATCAACTGGGACACAAATATTATGTGTCCCAACACATTCTAGGTTATGCACAGTCCAATGCTCACACAGTAACCTTATCTCTAAAATACTTGAGAAAACCCAAAGCATTTTTATGCCACAGTATTATAACCAAGGATCAGTTACTTTAGCCACCACTGTTGTGCTACCTGCTCTAAATAAAAGAAAAAAAAAAAAAAAAAGCCTCATTTCCCAACAAGCATCAAGTTGGAAGCAGAGGTCAGTACCACTGCTGAGCACAACACAAAGATCAGTGCTGCAATCCAGCCAGAAGATCCCTCTCTGTAATGTCAGATGTCTGCAGTGCCAGCAGCTGCCTGCAAGTCAGGGTAAGTCAGTGGAGCTGGGGTGCAGCTCCTCTGAGCCACTCCAGGCATGCAGGATGAGCAGGTTTGCATTCCTTGCTGTGCTGACTACCTACAGTGTCTTGCCCCAGTGCAGACATCAACGTGCATCAGACAAATCCCACCTTAATTCATGAAAAGTGCTACAGAATGCTCAGTTATCCCTCTACATTTTATATCCCTCTATGTTGTGTGAGTTGGTTTTGCAACAACTGTTCACTGAAAAGGTGCAGATGCTCTTCACCACAGAAAGAGAAAAATCCCCAAGAACTCCAACCATTAAACTTGGAAATACTGGCTATAACCCACCTGTGCTTCAAAATATCCCTTTTTAGAAGTGGGGAAAAAATGCAGAAATTCGAGTTATTGTGTGTTAGTAGCCATTAAGGGGATTTTTCACTTTCTGTTGAAATTCTTATTTCAAAATATTTTCCTACAGAATTTTAACACATCAGCAAACCTCAAGTAACTTGACCTGATAAGTTTGTGTCATGCTTCTTGGTAAATCTACTTATCCTAGGATATCACAAACTGGATGGAGAATACAGATTTAACCCTGCACTGTTCAGTGTAGGGAACTGAATCCTCTACTAGCCCTTTCCATCTTTAATTTACACCATCATTCCAGGTATTATAAACAATTCTTAAAGTTCTACTGTTCTCTGGTCATTGATACTATCTCTCTATTACTACTAAATGCAAGCAAAATTGTTTTCAAAGCAAAAAATAAATTAAAGAAAATAGCTATATTTAATTGCACTCCAGTTTTGTGCCTTCAGGTTAGGGCAGGGATATTTAACACTACAGAAGCTTAAAGATTATCTTCTCTCCTTGGGAGATATGAATATAGACAGGTATTGGACTCAGGTGGAGGATGCAAATTGGTACGACCATATTTACAGAAGCAAATACTGACATCCAGCCTGAATACACAGTACTCCATTAAGTGCAAAAGGGAAAACACTCCCCACCTTAAACCACAGCCTGGTTACTCAGCAGCCAGAGATCAGTTGTCAGAGTTACTGCTGTGCTCTCATTTCAGAGGAAAACGGAGGAGGAGAATGTCTGCATCTTTGGGCTTTCTGGCCTACGGGGACCGTATACAGCCATGAATCACTTGGTACAGGATCCAGAAATCCTTCCTTTGCTCTGGAGAGGGGAAGGGAGTGCATTTGCCTGCCTCAAGCATTTCTTGGAGAGAAAAATAAAATCTGCTTTTGTTCAAGGTGAGCAAATCGTCCATTAGAAAATTATTTCATGTCATGTGTGGACACTGTATGAGTTTCCAAATAATCAAAGTTACTGTCAGTAACTCTGAATTATGAATTACAGTTCATAATGCAATGAAAAAGCAGTTTTCAACATGGTACCAGACAAGGTTAAAAAAGGCATGGCCTCACTTACTACAGTGTATTAGAGATAATACACTAAATTCTAATAATCAGGTACTAGGCATCTTTCCTTTTCTTTGCTTTCAGACAAAGTGATTTCTATGTGCTAAAAAGGAGTGACTGTAATAATTTACTCCTGTCAGAACAGAAGGAGTTAAACTTGTTTTGCTTATCAACTTCTAGAAAAGTAAATTCTGCAGGGCAAGCAAAACTCAGAGCCTTCAAGCTTTTGTGTTTTCCCTTCTGTTCACTTCTTACAAGCCAGCACTGTTAGTTCATTCAAACCTCCAGGGGAATATAGGCCTGACTTTCCTTTTTCCAACACTAATTTGGGGCCATTGAGAGGTGATGCTGGGAAGAGAGCACTGTTTAAGATGGAACTGTGCTCCTTCAGTGCACTAGGAAGGGAGGGTGAAACATGCCATGAAGCAGGATGATACTGTGATGGTGGCTGTCCTCCCTGGCTGTAACACTGCTTTCTGTCTTTCAGCTCTTTCCCCTCTCCATTCTGGCACAGAATTATCTGTATTCTCTCTTTAGCTGAATTCCAGAGACAGCACAACTGGCATCATGAGAGCAGGCAGTCCTGGCAGAAACAGCAGATGAAGAGACATGCACTAGCTTAGCTCTAAAGGAACTGATGTTCACAACTGAATTCTGATGTAGTGGTTCCCAATGAAGACTGAGAAATCAGCCACCCAAAGGTAAGATCTAAGCAAGATCAGAGTTCCTCTGTCTCAGTGTCAGTGACAATCACTGAAGCCTGGCTCATAATGAGCTCAAACCTAAGAGGTGAAGCTCCACAGAAATACAGAAAACAATCCACAGGTTCATCTAGCCACAGTCCTTACCATGCAGGAAAATGAGTAAAGTCATGTGGACACTCACTCCTGGGCAGATGTACTTTCTTTCCCCTTCCTTTCCCAGTGCCAGCATAACTCAGTCCAAACAGCTTCCAAAACACCTTGGAAGTGTGTATAAACTATAGGAGGGAGCCAGGCTTGCAGGGGTGCACTGCTGATGAGCACAGAGGTGATCAGAATCATAATAAATTAGGACACTTGCTGATGTGTTTAAGTTCAGGGAGTTTCCTGGGTGTGACTGGCAGAATGAGAAGGTGCCACATCCTTTGCACCCACCAGGCCATCTCTGTTTCTCTTGGTGACTGTACAGTGCCCACAGCAGCCTAAGGGTGGCTGAGATGAATCTGGGCTAAACCACTGTTACCAGCAGCTTTGAGTTCCCACCAGCCACGACCACAAATCACAGGTACAGCTGACCACAGCACTTTCCAACACTTCCCCTGTCATTCCTGACACGGGAGGCCTCTGGAAGAAGTTTGCCTTTCTGCCTGTGCAAATATACACATGCTGTAAACATGAAACACACTGGTAATTAATGGACTCTTCAGCCAGAGATAACTGTCAGACTATGGGCAATAATGAATGCACACAACTTCTGTCTTCAGGCTGAACCCACCCAGATTTTCCTCATCCTTGGCACAACTGAAGGGCTTAAAATGTGCACGTAGCCCAACATGCTATGTGTAGACTCTGCATCTCTCATTAGCTGATCCACAGCACATGGTTTAATTTACATTTTATGTTCTGCAAAGAGATAATTTTCTCACTGGGCTGTAAATACTGGTATAACCAGTGGAATACATGGAACTTTAATATTTACAACAACCAAAAATCTGGCCCAGTGTGCATCAGCCACTGTCTCTGACCATTCAACTGAAAGAAGACCTCCAATCCAACTATATTTAGTCTGATAAACAATGTATTTCCTCTTCCTGTGTTTTTCAGACCAGATGTGCTAAGGCCTACCTTTGTAGCTGAGTGTTATTTAATAGAACACTGCCAAAGTGGAAAATATCCCAGTTCAATCACATAATTAACTTGGATCTTTGTATTTTCCCCCATTTTTTAAATACAGAATTCCTAGCTAACCTAAATAAGTCTCTGCTAACAAAAATGGAGATATTTATTTGGACAAGCTGCTTGGTTGTTTTGGGTTTTTTTAAAGAAAATTAATTCTGGGTCAACTTCAAGGATTAAGGCAACTCCAGATTTTGCCTGCTAGAGGCATATTCCCAAGGATTTGGTTTAATATTTTTGGAAACTTAAAAATAGCATCTTTTCCTTCTAGCTTTGTTCTTTCCTACTCAGCAAGCACAGATTTTTGACCCTGTATTCCCAACAGAGCTTGAAGCTAGCATGAGTCTTTCTTGTATCTGCTGGCATCTACAACAGCACACTATAACCATCATGCACACTATTACCACACAAATGGGGAGAGTCCCTCCCAACCCCATGCTGAAAAGGCCAGATCTTGATCTCTCCTGTACCACCTCACATGCAGAGTCATAAACACTCCTGTGAAATCTGCTGACAACATGGGGTGGCTTCTGCCCCACTCCAAAGTTAAAATGAGGATTCTTGGCTATTCCTCTCTGGCAAGGCTGGCCACTTTGTGTCTCACCAACCTGAGCCTTGGAAGCCAGGGAATAGTTTCATCATCAAATTCATGACATATATCATAAGCTATTGCCTTTTTCTCCCCAGTCATCTTAAAACAGTAAGAAGAGGTAACCCAGTAAATAGCTTTCCTATGAAACATCCTCCTGGAGCTCAGGGAGCTTATTCAATCTGTGAGCAGAAGGGCAGCTACAAGAGCCCAGAGAGGAAGGTCTGGGAGGTTAACAACATTTTTTGTCAGACATTACTCCCTTTCTTACTTTAGCCTGGGCTTCACCCACAATCAGATATGAAAACCAGATCCAACATGGACTCCTCTGCTTCACAATATCATGACTAAAAGGGTTTTCTTGGTTTTTTTGAGTTATAACAGTCCAGAAGAAAGACTAATTCTAGAATTCTAGCATAGGTTCTTGGAGATGGGGAGACATTAGGTCTCATTTTCTCTGCACTAATCTGTCCTCATTAGTCATCAGATGCAGAAGCCTACAGAGAAGATGCTGTCAGATGTGCAAAAGGAGATTGCTAGTATCCATCAGTGCCAATGTAAAAGCAGACAATGCTGGTGACAGCAGCACCAATTCATCACCATCTTTTGACATCTAAATATAAAGTAACTTATCCCTAAAAATGCAGGCTGGCAGTAGCAAAAATACAAACTACTCTTCCTCAGAGCAACAGTTCTCTAGAATGCCAAACATCTGCCTAAACTAAACCTGCGTGAATTTGGCCCATTGTTTTAAGTTGCTAATTCAAACTGCAGTATAACTTCACAGTATTGAGACTAAATAGCTTTTTAAAAAAATTATTTTATACACACTTATTTAAGATGGGAATGTTTTATATCAGATTAAACTACTTCTGGAGTTCAGTTCAGGTGGATCAAACCACATCCAGAAATAGTGTGTTCACCCAGCAATCCTGTGAGCAATCAGCACAGTGTGAGTTCAATTAGGATGTCTTACAGTTAAACCTGCACACACATCATTCAACTGGGCTACCAGTGAAGAACAATTCAACACTAACGTGTTTGTAATTACTAAGCATCTAAAAGCCATATAGCTTCATTTTGTTTGTGAATTAAACACCATGTCATTGCCACAACTTACTTGAAAACCTTTCTTACTAGTACCAAGAGATGTTTTTCATCTCTGTATCTGTGTATTCTTACAAACCCCTAGGCACCTCTGAACAACTTTCAGGCAGTTTTTGTCTTTTGTTAACCTTAGACTCAGTGTCAGATTTCAAGAAATTCCTCTTTTTTTTTTTTTTTTTTAAATATAGGTACTTATTTTACCATTTCCAACAAAGGAAAGAATGCACAAGGTAGAAGTGAGTGTTACTATTAACTGCATCGAGTCTGTCAGGCATTTAAATTAGATTGATGTGGGGATACACTGATTACACTGACAAAAAGCATCTTCTAGCATCAGACTCATTCAGTTAGCTCACAATTATCAACAAGGAACACTTCAGTCCAAGTTCTGTAAACCCAAAACACTCCAAAGATATGCAAAAGGTGCAGATATCACCTTATGTTCTGAAACCAATCAATCTTCACCCCTAGGTTCATTGGTTCCTTTTGTCACACTTTTCCCCTTCTCTTTTGTTTTCAACGCTTTCCTTAAGAAATAAACCCAGGCCTTGAAACCTTTCAGATGAAGTGATGTTTGCAAAAAGACATCTAATGTTTTTGTGTTTTCCTCCTTCACAAGCAGGCAATGTTCTCTTACAGCAACAACAACAACAAAAAAAGTGTCTGTGTTTTTTTTGGAATTAAACAACATAAGGCAATTAAATATTGAGAAGCAGTCAGGTGTATGATGAACATGAACCTTCCCATCGGTAGTGTGGAAAAGGAGCTGAACTTGATCTGGTTTGTAACCCCCTGTCCCAGGCCAGGCCCCAGGATGTTCATCTCTTGTAGCAACAAAGCAAACAGTTCTTGCCTGCACAGGTAGCATCTTGCCCATGTACTCTTCCATGTAGGTGGAAGGAAGATGCTGAGCAGCTGCTTGCTAAACTGAAGGCCATGAAAAATCATTTGGCTCTTCACCATAACATCAAACCTAATTCATAGGTTTTTGGCCCCCAAATTCCAAATTGTACATCAGTCTGTTTTCGAAAGTTTACGTTTAACATGTCTGGGGGGTTCCCAAGTATCACTATCATCTGTTTCTTCCTCATCCTCCTGATCATCCAGCATTTCATCTTCCTCCTCATTCTCATCAAACAGCTCTATTCCAAGTTCTAATCTTCTTTGCCTTTCTGCAAACCATTCTCTGACCTGCTCATATCCCATGTGAGATTTGGCTACCAGTTCATCAAGGTCTTGCTCATTAAGGAATTTGTGCTTCATGTAATAGTCCTTCAGGATTGCTGTTCCAGTTTTAAATTTTATGACAGAGACACCTCTGTCCCAGCAATTTAACCTCTTGCTTCCCCGAGGCCTCCCCCGAGGCCTCCCTCTCCCCCTCCCTTTTGGTCTTCCTCTCCCTCTCTTCCTTGCAAAGCCTTGGCCATTCAGGCTGTTTGCACTGGCACTCTGGTAATAGTAATACCATTTCAATCCACCATTTTTCCAGGCATAGCGAGTATCTCCAAACCAGCTCACAATTTCTGATCTTGGAAGCCCAGTTTCTTCTGCCAGCTTGTTGTATTCTTGTGGAGATGGCCACTGAGTACGGACAAAGGAACTTTTGAGCATGTGCAACTGCTCTGGTGATTTTTTGCCTATTTTGCTTGAAGTAGAACACCCTGATTTTGTTCCTGCTGCTCCATCTCCCACAGATGTTTCTCCAGATTCCTCTTTTGAGCTGCCAGCATTGCTTTCATTCATGTCAGCTCCCTCTTCCTTCAAGACATTTGATTTCCGTTTTTCTGCAAACCAGGCATCAATCTCTCTCCTGGTCAGTTTTGTTTGGGCTCTTAATCTATTCATCTCTTCTTCAGTAAGGACTGGGTTATTAAGAAAACTTGCTTGGAGGACTTGCAACTGTTCAGAAGTCTTCTCTTTGAATTTCTGTGGGGTGAAATCAGGAAAAGTACCCCAAGATGGCTTGCTCTGTGGAGTGACTCCTGTTGGAGATTCATTCATTTCATCACTTGAATCAATAACAATGGTGGCACATGAATCACTGTTAAGATGAATCCCATGATTATTCTTTGAGTTTCTCTGATTGTAGCGTGTATCACTGAACCACTTTTTGATCTCTCCTTTAGTGAGGCCTGTTATTTTCATAAGTCTAACAATTTCTGAGTCTTGAGGAAACTGGTTTTTAAGGTAGCTGACTTTCAATTCTGCCAGTTGTTCCTTAGTTTTTTTTGCTCGGATGCCAAAGGAGTCAGGATTCATCAGCGTGGATTCATTTTTGATTAGCTGAGGGGCTGGAATGGCAGCTACTTGTTTGGTTTCTGCAATAGGCTGAGCACTGTGAATCTGACTCTTCTGTAACTGAGTTTGGTTTGGGACTCCTGCTACAGTCAAAGCTATTGGGGCTGTTACTGGTAATGTATTTGTACCTGCAACTTGAGTGAGAACAAGTCCTGGCTGACCAACTATTTGGCATGTCTGTAAAATGGAAGGTAAACCATTGCTAGCGGCCGAAATGTGTGCTGGAATAACAGTAATGGTCTGGGGCACAGTATGCACTGTGCCATTAAATTGTTTCCTCCTTGCTTCCTCCACCTCCTCTGGCGTCCAGCTCACTCCGTGTTTCAGACGCTGAGCAGAAAACCAGATTTTAATCTGCTCTTCTGTGTACTTAGCTTGAGAGGAAAGAACAGTGATTTCTGACATGGTTGGATACGGGAATTTGTTGTAGGTGTTAAGCAAAAGAGGATTGTTATCCAAAGCAGTGTTATAGGCTGGAATGCTATTCACAGGTATTAGGACTTTGGGAATCAGGTTGGAGTTCTGTGGAGCTGTGACAGCTGTTATAACCTGCGCCACCCCAGGCTGAAGCACCGGTGCTGGGGTCACTACTGCCCCGGCCACATCTGCTGCACTGCACACAACTGAATGGCTTGGTTTGGGTTCAGAAACTGCCGCTGGGGGGTTTTCTACTACTTCTTCAGAGTTTGGCTCATTTTCAGTTCCCTTTTCTTCACCAGGAATGTCATCAACTACATTGTGGAAAACAGCAATACGTTTAGCCTCGGGTTTGCTTTTCATCATTTTCATGATAGGAGTTTTGCTAATGGAGATCCCTGATGAGGGGACCTCAGAAGAGTCAGCCTGTCCAGCATTTTCTTCTCTAACAAAACTCCCATCAAAAGTGAGATCATTTACTGTCTGTTCAAAGATTGTCTGGTTATTACGTTTCACCATAGTCAATTTAAAATTCTCCTCTCCAGGGTGGTGCTTCAAATTATGCTCTGAGAGGGCATCATATCTTTTGGTAAGGAAATTACATTCTAAACAAACGTAGGATGAATTTAACACTACGTTGGGGTGTTCTGAATCCACATGAAAGGTAAACATATTGAGATCTGGAGTCTGAAAAGTACAGTATTTACACTCATAACCACCTTCTACTTTATTTGTATTTTTCTTATTGTCTGAATCCACATACTCATGAGCATCCTCATCACTTGTCACACCCTCTGCTGTAGGGTTATCTGCTGGTGTGAGCACAGGTGGTCCTTCCTCCAAGTCTGACACCGTTTCTAGATCTGGATCCTGCTCATTGGCTAAGACCATGCAGGGTGTTGTTGATTTTCGTTTACTTGCCATGACTGTTACTGTGAAAATGATAACGACTGGTCAGATACAGATTAGCTTCAAGCTCTTCTTGATTAATAATAGTAATAATAAAATAATAATAATAATGGCTTTCGGTACTTCAAGTCAGTTCTTGTAAAGTCTCAACATTTCTCCCATTAGCAGCTTTTCTTTCGTAGTGCAATCAGATTAAAAATAGTTGAGGATGAGATGTTGAGACACTGTTTTAAAGTCCACATCCACCACCTGTAGTAAAGAAGAGACAGTGGAATTAGTTTAATTTACATAATAATTTCTATTTTGCTACATATTACAGTTTAATGTAATTCAGTCCTTTGGGGTTTAGTGTGCCACTGCTCATCCCCTGAAACCAGCAGACCCATTCCAAGAGATAACTGAAGCTATGATAAGAAAGGCAAAATCCAATCCACTTATTACAGACTGAGATTTGTTTCAGTTCATGTTAATACAGTGACAGACCTAAACAACAGGGTGGTATAAAACAGGTAACTTCCTGATTGTTTCCCTTGCTTCAGAAGCCTTTTTATTTGGCACAGTGCTGAGGTCACTCTTGCCCTTGGACTGCTTTCCCTCAGCTATGACAACGTCTCTCAGCTGTTCTGTGAGCTCAAGTCCTTCCCATCACAAACTTGAGCCCAGTATGACATATCCACTACTGGCTCTGTCATGTCTTTCATGTCACAGGCTGTGAAGTGTCCCAGAAAAGGCAGGTTTAGAGTATTTCTCTATTGCATTATACATGCAAGCACAATCATGTGCAAGACCTTTCTTCCATGTCTGAAAACAGGCAAAACAATGCCTTTTTAAGGCACTCTGACAGACAAAAGACAACTATCCTTTCTTCCTAGTTTCCCAAATGTCATTCTCCAATTGAAGACCAATCCCAAACCAATAAATGTTGATTAGTAGCACTTGGCAATCAACTAAAATCTGTTTTCATGCCTCTATGCATGAACAGAGACGTGACCAATTGTGTCAGCTGTAACAGAGAGAGAAAAAGCATTAAAGACTGATATCCCAAGCAGAAGCCTTAGCTTCACATTTTTTCTTCAGGCAGAAGACCAAAGTGATCATCCCAGTTCACCCAGTGCTGCTCTGTAAGCTCTGTTTTTGAAACTGTGTGTCACCTTACTGCTTCATAAATATCCTCCTTGAATGTTTTTAACAGCCACCCTCTGCACTACATCTGTGACTACATCCAAAGTGCAGAGCCTCACATGATATGCTTTTTATGCCAAGGATATGGTTACATGGCATTAAGGACACTGAAAATGCTCAATTAATCTTGGGTAATCATCATTCCAGGATGACAATTATTTAATGGTACTGGAGTAGAAAGATATCCTTCTTCCACAAGTTAATAGTGGCAGTCTGTAAAACTGAGCACAGAAGTGCAAAAGATATTTATTTTCATGTATGTACAAAGTACCTATTGCAGGCCACCTCATTTCTCTTTGCAGAGAGAGAACTGTGAAGCAAAGCTGAACAGATCCATTTGTCTCAGTGTCTCAAGGGACAGGAGGTAGAGCATTATTAACTGTGCAGCTTCTCTGTGGGGCTGGAGGGCTCTTGACAAAAGGGAAGGCAACTGCCAAGACAACGTTGAGCAATGCTCTGGGGGAAGAGCTGGGTGGTATTACCTAATGTTTCTGCAATTTTGAGTAAAATTTCAGAAATGCCAGAAATGCCTATTTTAAAAAGCAACTTAACAGCTACTTTTGCTGGCTGAAGTTGTGTTTTGAGGAGTGACTGTGGTACTCTGTAGTACCTCATCCCTAGCACAGCACACAGGATCTCTGCACAGGGCAGTCTGAGTGAGCTTAGGTGCTTGCCAAGAGTCCCATTCTGGGATGGCCTGGAGTGCAAGTGAAAGCAACATTTGATCTGACATGCAATATTGAGGCATGCTGAAGGAAAGGCTGGAGATAAGGAATAAAATGGAAAACCTGTTCAACAAATCAATAAACATTCTTCTCCAGTCTCCTTGTGTACTCAACGGTGCTCACAGTGCCTGTAAGCCAAGGGGTCTATGTGCAACTGCAGCACCTGCAGGCTTTTAGCTAAATCTCTATCACATCTCTGCTGTGCTGCTGTTTTGCTTATGGTGCCTAAGGAGATTATTGTGTCCCTCCTCTGTTTACCAAGAGAGCAACACTTTTCTTTGATGCAAACAGGTCTCAGAAAACGAAAGCTCCATCTCTGTTCTTCTGACTACACTGTGTCATTTTTTTTAAAGGATGTTGTGATGTCAAAACCCTGTTTAACTCATGGCTATGAAGAGCTGTGAGATGCTGAAGAAAGTGAGATACCTGCAACCCTTCCCAGCCTTCTTTCCTCTACTGACTTTACAGAAACCTCCATTCCCTCCTCCCTGAAGCTATATGTGATTATTCCACCTGTAGCACCCTGCTTGACGTTTTCTCTCAATTTAACAGGGGATTATGAAAACTCACATTTGAGCAGTTTATCCAACCAATTATGCATCATCCTTGGACTCTTCATTTCCTCTAAAATTCCTCTCCAGTTCTGCTTACAGGAATGTGTGGGACCTTGCCACATAGCTCAACTTCAATAAGGTCTGCAACATTCTGCAGCACGACTCCAACAAAATGAAGTAACAGAGTGGTCTTGCCAAATCCACCTTTCTAGGGACCTTGTTACAATTCTTGAGGCTCTTACAGACTGTTTTTTATTAAGTTCTTCCTGTATTGAGCTGGGAATGAAGATCCCTCTAACTGACCTGAGACTCACTATGTGTTCTCCTCTGCTCAAGCATTTCCCCTGGTTAAGACTGGGCAGTCCTGTGCCAGTCTTGTGCTTGCCTGTCTCTAGGCCACTGAGACCTCCTCCCTCATGTTCCATGGATTCCTGAAGGTCATCACTTCAGTGAAAGGTTCTGCTTGTCCCTTACATACCTTAAAGTCAAATATATGACAAAATATTGCAAAAGATTTTCTCTTTTTATTTCTCCTTGTGAAAACTGACATTGTATTGTGTAATTTGGTTTGCAATTAAATAATCCAGGTGTTTATTTTATGTCAAAAGCAGCATTTTTTAATGAAGGAACCTGAAGAAAAACTTTATTTACACTGCATCCCCTTCTGTAATTTCACCTCAGATTTTCACAGAATTGACATTCCTAGCAAATCAGCCCACAAAACAGATGTTTTTCTAGGAACATAAACCAGCAAGTGCAGGCATACTTTTTGAAAGTCCAGAATCTGATACTTTATCTTTCAGCAGGCAATTCCTCAGGACACTGTTCTTCAGAAACAGTTAGCAATCCCAATTAATGAATAATTATATTAAGACAGATTCATTCCAGAGTGGAATTCCACATTTAAAGTTGTCTTGATAGCAGATTTGTATGAAGACTTATATAAATATTTTCTAAATGGAGGCAGAAACCTTCTACCCATTTGATTACAGTTTGAGAAGGAAAAGACATAGAGCTGACCACAGAAGACACACATGAAAGAACTTGCTTCCAGAAAAAAATTTTTACTCACTTTCTCCCTCCCTCCCTCCCCCAAACAGGAGCACCTGATGCAGCAAGAAAAAGAAATGAGTTGACATAAAACGTTCACTGTGTGTTCAGGGTGTATGCTTTCTGAAAAGGCATCGCTCCCTGTCTGCTGTATGACACTTCCATCCAGTGTACAGGAAAAGCATGCCAAAAAAATCCAGCCCCATGTAATGTGATTTTAAGGATATGCAGAGAGTGGCTCAGAAGATGAAGCAATAGAACCTGCTTCTAACTTTTAAATCCCTGGATTACAAATTGCCTGCCACTTCACACAGAAAATGCTGCCTTCTTAGAACCCATGACAATATGCAGTTGTTGATCCTTTGTTTAGCCTCCTTCTACTACCCTTTACTCAGAGTAGATGAATCTATGTAAGAAACTATTCTGTAGAGCTCAGTGTAGGCTAATACACTCTGATCTGTGCTGCCTCTCAGGGAGAAGGGTGAAGGACTTTGTTGCAGTGCCATTTTCTTCACTTGTTCCTTATCTGCAAAGTTCAGAGAGCCTTACTGCTTATGACTCCAAAATAAAGCCAGATCTCTGTTAATCATGCAATATTTACATTTAATTCCTCTTTTAAAATAAGGGCTGGTACTAATCCAACATGGGAGTGAAACTTATCAAACTGATTTCAGCAGAAGTCCTCACGTATTACAAAGATAAGGCCCACTTAGGTCCTTGCTGCATTAGACTGGCAATGAGGGAGGCAAGTTCCAAAGGCTGCTGTAGTGCCCACGCAGAGCTGCAGGCTGTGCCAAAGCCAGAGCCGGGATGGAGCACTGGGAAGCTGACACAAAAGCAGGAGAGGCTGAAGGGAGCCTGCCACAGGACATGTGACTGGGCTTTCCCAGTTACCTCCTCTCAGTGCTGGTTTCAATGGGTAACAAACAGCTCCATCACAGTAAATGTCAGAATTCCATGCCAGAAGCGACCGCTCCGTGACCAACATTCCCTTTCTCTGTTGCAGCACATTCTGCAGGTACCCCTGCACAGAGCACAGGAACCTGTGCCCCTGCTTTTGATACAGAAAGCCATAACCAGGTTCTGTGTCTGACTATATAAAGGTAATGACCAAACATCTCAGAAACCAGGGTACACTGACCAAGAGGCACCTTTAGCACGAATGGTGCATGTCTCTGCTCCTCAGTCACACAGACAGGTATTTTCTGTATGACACAGACAGGTATTTTTTGTGTGACACAGACCCCTTGGCAGCTACACTCATACAGGCAGACCTTGATTTTATTGACTGAAGTGCCCAATTCAAACTGTGAGCACTCAGTACTTCTAATGTCAGACATCTCTGCATGACTGTTTTTGAAAGTGAGTATCAGACTTGTGTAAATGCTTATCATACCCAATAAAATGGCAGCAGAGTCAGGGAATTTTTTTCTTTCCATAGTTACAGCTCTATTTTATTTTAATTGCTGTGCTGTTACATACAAAACAGAAAGGATGAAGAAATAAATTACTGACATGAAGACAAATTTTAATGTGTTCTGCATCGAATAAACATTTAATTCAACCCTCCAAATGTTTCGTGTTGGCTTTAAAAAAATAGAACAGTAAGAAATTATTAATTTAAAAAACTGTTTAACAAAAAAGTTTCTCCTTAAAACACCAAAACAAAAGGTTTTATTATAATGGGATTTCTTTCTTTAAAATCAAACAATCTAGCACACATACAACTTCACAAAAT